CTAACGCCAAACATTCGGTAGAATTTATAGAATATATATTTATATATGAACCTATATGTATATATAGTTTTTTTAATATATTTATCAATGATCTTTGCAGATCGACTGAGGCTGTTAAGTATATCATGTATGCGGATGACACTAACATTTTGGCGGATGACGATTCTATAGGTGAAGTTGAATGTATTCTTAACTCAGAGCTCGTAAGAGTTCACTTGTGGATGATAAATAATAGACTGCAAATTAATTTATCAAAAACGTATGCCATTCTTTTTGGTCCTAAAATTGTCACCAATTTACTAACATTCTCTATTTTCTACAATAACAATTTGGTGGGTCGATTGGACAAATTAGTCTTTCTAGGTGTTACAATCTACTGACTGCGACTGCTCCATCTTTCTCGAGAATTAGAAGTTAAAAGGAAGGTAGTTCTAAATTTGTCCAACCAACTAACTGAATTGTTGAATCACTGTGATGTTGATTGCAGTGTCAGGAATGAACTAAATTTATGCCGGAAAGAATTTATAAATGCATATATGCAGCATGAATTCGGAAAATAAGTTTATTTTGAATTTTAATAAACTAAACGTTCACCAAAAAACTTTAGTGAGAAAAATTGAAAAAACGAACTACAAACATATTAACGCCAAACATTTGGTAGAATTTATAGAATATTGTAAAAAAAATATATATATATATATATATACACACTGTGCCTCTACTCTACTTTGTTGATTCCTTGTTTGTTTAAAGTGAATACTTAACGCTCATTTAATTAGTTTTACAATCTTCGACTTTGTTAAATATAACACTTGTACGTGTTTTCATTATCGATGATTCCTCTGTTTCTAAATTCATTGGTAGGAAGAATCCCAATTGCCCGTTGTTGAATATTTATAATCGGATGTCTTTGTTCTATGAGTATGATTCGACTAGTCGTAAATTATAATGGTTGTTATTGTAATGTAAGATTTCAACACTGTGCTCCAAGATTTTTTTTTTTTGAAATTTTAGTTTTGTGTTTCTTTTTCATGTGATTCTTTATAACGTCAGTTTGTACGTGCATCGTGAGTCTTTTCGATAACTTGGTCGTCGTCATACCAATATATTCAGAAATATGTTGTCTACACTCACCAATATTTCATTTAATTACAAATTCTAAAGTTGGTTTGGTGTGAACGCTCTTGAAAAATGTTATCATCGTCAGTTGGCATGTAATGAAATGAAAACATTTCCTTAAAAAAAACTCAAAAATCATGTGTTCTCAGGTGCGCAAATAACAACAAGCGATGTATGCAACAACAGAAATACACAAACAAAGCCACGCAAAAAGATAAGAGGCACACAGATGTAGATACACAGGCACAAAGAAAGGCAGACTCATAAATATAGACGCATAAATATTATCATGCATGATATGAGATGAGACTAAGTAGTTTGTAAATAAATAATTTGCTAGCAGTTGAACGACGAATGATCAATGAATTCCTGTATTAGATGAATTTTTCTGAAGACGACCAGCATCCTCCCATATTTCTATCTCTTTTTTCTGCGTCTTCTTATTTTTGAATGTGTGTGCGTGTGTCTGCGTGTATGTATTGCGGAAATCAAAAATTATTGATTTTATTTTTTCATCCTCGCCTGATCTACATGCAAATAGCTCGTTAAGCCTAAAATCAACCATGCAAATATTTTTGATTGCCTCGTCAAAATAAAAACCCAACCGGTTAATTTCAGTTTGACAGAGTTTGCTTAAACAATTCATATTTGCAATCGTCCTCTTTGCAACTTATCATCTGGGCTTTACCAACTATTGTACGGTATTGTTTTGTAAATATATATTAAAAGCAAAATCAGAAAGTCATTTTATAATTACAGCAATGGTTTTGAAGCCGCCATTTAGTTAACCGTTTTAAAGATTGTAGAATTCATTATTGTTCAGATCGTCCTCGAGAAGACTACAGCCAAATTTTATTGGAAGAAAATAAGTTTAGGATGCTGTCTAATTGAAAAACCCAATTAACGAACTTTTAAAAACTGAATACGATTACATACCTACAAACACCCACACACGCACACACACGCACACACACAAAACAAAGTTAGCAAACAAACGACGATCCAACGAACTAGGACACAAACAAAAAAATAATAAATTGCAGCCGAATGGTCGGCGCTATTTTTATTCCTCCTCATAAGGTCCATGGAGTCAGAGTGCCAGGAATATATCTTCATAGCAATCAATGCACATCTCAGATTCTTATTGATTGCATCTCGACTTGGTTTATCTGCTCTCCAATGTTCTTTTATATTTTTTTATCTTACTTAATATAAATAGAAGATGTATTTCTTCCTATCCATTTATACTTGGATTTTTAAAAAATATATATTTTTTAATGTTATATATATATATATATATAAATATATATATATTCAAATTCAAATATACATTTTTTTTATTATTTTTAAAAAATCAGAATCTGACAGACGCCAAAACTGTCACATTATGCAAGGCAATAATTTAGAATGATAACGAAAAATAAATAACTGAATAAGAATGTTTAAATGTGAGAAGATGGAAATTAAATAATGATTGAAAAAACGAATAAACAAGATAGTTAATTATGTGACCATTCGAGAACTTAGTAAGCGAGTTATCGCAGAAGCCGGGAAAATGGCAAGAGGTAGAAGAAGATGAAGGCTCTTTTTGACTAGCTATTGCCGCTCTGGACTGGCAGATAGCAGATGAAGAAGTGAGTTTTGTGGTCGATAATGGAGAAGAATGATAAGGAATAGGAATGTTTAAGCATGGAGAATAAAACAATGATTTGAAAAAATGAATAAATAGAATAATGATTAATTGACACCAGTTATTGACTTAGTGAGTTAAGAGTTTAAGTTACTACTACTACTACTACTACTACTACTACTACTACTACTACTACTACTACTACTACTACTACTACTACTACTACTACTACTACTACTACTACTACTACTACTACTACTACTACTACTACTACTACTACTACTACTATCACCACCACCACCACTTCCACTACTACTACTGCGACTACAACTGCTAGTATTAGTAGTACTTCTGTATTTGCTACAGCCGCAGCACATTTACTACCACTGCTATTATTAATATTATTATTATTTTTATTAATATTGTTATTATTATTCTGCAACATCGTCATCGTATGCCATTTATTGTGACAGAAATACTAATTTGAATGCATCATTTAGAACTAATTCTTTCTTGTTGTACGCATTCATCTTTAGGATGTCGAGCTTCGTAGAATATTTTAATTCTTAGTTTTAAAACAATTTTACTTTTATTAAATTTTAATTCATTAACAATTCTTTTTAACGTGTGATTTATAATGAAAATAAAATGATGTTCCCATTATTATTATTATTATTATTATTATTATTATTATTATTATTATTATTATTATTATTATTATTATTATTATTATTATCATAAATGGAAAAAATGTCTAAAAATAAATTCGTAAAAACCCTTTTATAAATAATCATTAAAATTTGTTTATACAACCGTCCTTATATCTTCCAACCTCTATTTATCCAGTCGTTACATTATTATTATTATTATTCATTGTTATTTTTATTATTATTATTATTATTGTTATTATTATTAACATCTCCCAACGATTGGAGCAACTTTCATGTGTGTCATCAACAAATAATCCCCAAAAAAATTCATATCGAATAATTTTTTTTACGTTCGATCAATTTTTCAGCAGGCCTTTTTTTATTTTATTATAATTTTTGATATTATAGTTACTATAACTATTGATGAAATTATTATTTATTTTTATTATTATTATAGTTGTTATTATTATCGCTGCAAGAATATTTTTATTCATATATAATTAAATTACTCAATTTGAAAATAACTAACCAGCTGGATTGATGAACATTGAAGTAGCTATGTTGAGATTTGTTGGTAGCTATGAAGATGGCAGGCAAGTTGGGGACGGAGGTTCAACTGAAGTCTTCCAAGCATCATTTTTTGGACTTTTGAATAAGGATCTTGCGATTGTTTGGTTAGTTGTTGTTATTGTTGTGTTGTTGTTGTTGTTTTTATTGTTGCTGCTGCTGTTGTTGTTGTTGTTGTTGTTGTTGTTGTTGTTGTATAGTTCTCATGTGTTGTTTGGCTTGATTTCTTGTTGTTTCCGCGTCCAGTTGCCTTTTGTTGCCGATGATTTGTCCATTTCGACTTGATACCTCAATGATCAACATCTTCGTTTCTGTATGCTTGATGTTGTTGTATGTGGTGGATGGTGTTGTTGAATTGTTGCACAGATCTGAGGGATGGTACAACACGTCAGTCATCTAGCTGCTGTCATAATCATTCTAATGCTTTTTGTCGCTGATTAATTGTTTTGTCCTCAAGATTTTGCACTCCTTTGTGTTCGATCCCGATTTGTTGAAAATTTCATTGCAAGACTCGTTGAAATATCTGTCAACTCATACATTCGTTTAGTTATTCATTAATGCATACATTCCTTCGTTCGTTCATTCGTTCGTTATTTGGTTGGTTCGTTCTTTAATTCATTCATCAATTCATTCATATGTTTCTTTTTTCATCCATTTATATATTTATATTGAAAAAGACACAAGCAACACAGTGTGATTCTACATTCATTCATTCATTCATTCATTCATTCATTCATTCATTCATTCATTCATTCATTCATTCATTCATTCATTCATTCATTCATTCATTCATTCATTCATTCATTCATTCATTCATTCATTCATTCATTCATTCATTCATTCATTCATTCATTCATTCATTCATTCATTCATTCATTCATTCATTCATTCATTCATTCATTCATTCATTCATTCATTCATTCATTCATTCATTCATTCATTCATTCATTCATTCATTCATTCATTCATTCATTCATTCATTCATTCATTCATTCATTCATTCATTCATTCATTCATTCATTCATTCATTCATACATTCAACTCAATTTCACCAGTTTAATTTATCATTTAATGAAAAAAGGTGAATATTTTATTACCAGGTACATTCGCATCTCAACATTCACCCGCCAACTCGTCACAAGATTCTTTCAAAATTGGACTTTCGGGTATACGTTTAAAATTTTCTGTACTCACAGCTTAGCACTGAAGAACACGGTAACGATGTGAAGCTGACGAAGTAGCCACAGCAGCTCCACTATCGTGCGTGTGCAGCTGACGAAGTAGCCACAGCAGTTCCATCATCGTGAAGATGCAGCCGACAGTGAAGTCCCATTGCGACCAACAGCATGGACAACATCATCCATGTTAATTCTTCCATCCAGCCTTCTCCTGATCACCAGGTGCCACAAAAACAACGTATAGAGCTTCGAATTGATGCAGCACCATCTTTGTCGCCATCGCATCCATCCTCATCATCTTCATAATTTCTTCAGCATCTTTTCTTCATTACTATCATTACCACCATCATTTTCTTTTTCATCATTATCAACACCATCGCTATTTTTTGCTATCTATTGTCAGAATTTTTATATTTGTCCCGATCTTTCAACGACACAACATTACAACAACACCTGAATTGAGATAGTGACAACAAAACAAAGCCTGGATATTACATGGCAGTAACTACACTTCAATACAAAGCAACAATTTTCCACCAAACAAACAACAACAAAAAAGACGACAACTATACATATATGAAAAATTGCTGTATGTCAATATTTACATAAACAACGCAAGAAACATTCCTACCACCCATAAAACATTCCAACTAGAAAACAACAACACACAAAATGAACACAACAACTACAACTACAACTCAATCCAATGAAGAGACGGAGAATCAGCCTGCCCACTTCAATACGAACTAATAACAAAAATACACCAAAATTACAAAACACAACAACAACAAAAACAAAAACAACAACAACAACAACAAAAACAACAACAACGACAACATGTATCTTTTGTTGATGTCTTTTATTAAATAAACTCACGTACTTGAAAAGTTCAACACGCATCATCATCACATCATCACACAACAACATGCGGCATCATCAAACAACATAACTGTACAACACTACAGCATAGACAAACAACACACTAATATCAGGAAAGCTACAAAAAGCATGACGTTCACAAAGAGTATCAACATACAACATTAACAACACATAAAAACTTAAGAACAAGAACAACGACAAACAACAACAATAACATCAATAAAAAACAACAACAACATCACCACCATCAACAGCACCAAAAAAACAACAACACGAACAACATCAACAACAACACAAATACCAACAACAAAATTAACATCCACAACAACAAAACCAACAACAATACCAACAACTACTACTACATCAACGCCAACAAAAACAACAACAACAACCACAACAGCAACAATAACAGCAACAACAACAACATTGTCAACAGCATCATCAATAAAAAACCATCAACAACAACGACATTACCACCATCATCAACAATAAAAACAACATCAACAACAACACAAACACCAACAACAAAATTAACATCAACAACAACAATACCAACAACTACTACTACATCAACACCAACAAATACAACACCACCACCAACAACTATTCCTACTACTACTACACCAACAACAACAACAACAACCAACGAATCTTCTTGGTAGGATGTTCTAGAAATTTGTAGTCTGCTAATCCCGGACGATTGATCGATATTTTGGCGGCAAATGTTGATTGAGGTGGCCGAACACGCAGAATTTTAAGTAGCTCTAGTTATCATAACCATCACCTTATCGATGATGATGATGATCATCATCATCAACCATCACCATCAACATCATGATCATCAACATCAATCATTATCATCAATCGACAACATCATCATCATCATCATCGTTATCAACAACCACAACAAACACATCATCAACAACAACAGCAACAATTACACCATCATTTTTATAAATGTTATCATCATCACCACCATCAATATTACCATCATCATCATCATCATCAGTGCATTGCAATATCGTTAACACAAAGATTCAAACTTCATATAACAATTCAAAAGCATCTAAGTTAAACACTTGCTTGTTGTTGTTGTTGTAATGTTGTTATGTTGTTGTTGTTGTTGTTGTTGTTGTAATGTTGTTATGTTGTTGTTGTTGTTGTTGTTGTTGTTGTAATGTTGTTATGGTGTTGTTGTTGTTGTTATTGTTGTTGTGGTGGTTGTTCGTAAAATCGTAACTATCGTTGCAGAACAATGTCTGCGTTACACATTAACAATTATTTTTAAAATTTTGACGAGGTTTCAATTCTATCTACAATTTTCATATTTAGTTCCTTCTCATGTTCAAACATTTTCTCACGCTTCGAACCAGGCTGTCTTAAGATTTGATGGATTCAATTTGTGTGGTCTTCATAAGGTTCGTTCTTTCTTCACAGCCCGCCATCTCTCCAAACAAACAACAACAACCCATCACATCACGCCTCAAACAGAAATCATCATCTTCAGACGTCCTGGAGTTCGTAGCGTTCAACTTCAGCGAACGAACGAACGAACAACCTTCTCCGACGAACAACCATCTCAAGTGCTTAGAAATAATTCCACAGACCATCCAAAGTCTCTGTTTTTTCCCCACTTTGCATAAACACGTTTGCGCAATAAATTGAAAGGTGGAACTGCGTGCAAGTGCATTTAATAAGCAATCGTACAACCCAACAACATTATATTATTTCCTTGCATCATTATTATTGCTGTTATTATTAAGTTGTTGTTGTTGTTGTTGTTGTTGTTGTTGATGAAGTGCAGTCGAACGCGTTAGACTAACAGAAATCTTCGAATGTTATTTTTTATTCATACGGCACACCAGCCAGCCAGCCAGCCTCTGATAATGTACAGTGTGACCTGAAGCACATTAGGATTGCTCCTTGAAATTTATTTCATATTCCACTGCATTGGAACCACTGAGAATCATGGAAGTACAACAGCAGTGTTCAACGTGCATGTTCGTACAACATTTAAACGAACAGTTCTCGTCCGAACATTATTATGTTCACGTTACGAACATTGTGAACAATATCGCGCACAAACAACAAACACGTGAAAATAAACATTTAATCGGAAATGTAAATTATTGAAAAAATGAATCGTAAAATGTCTCCATGATATCAACTTCTTAATGAGCCTCATGCAAACATGATTTCATGAAGGTAAAGCAGGTCTAACAAGTGCACACACACACTCATCCACGCAGCCCACATGCAGCATATCAATACTTCGCCACACAGTTAGGCAAAAATCTTATGTCGAAACGATTATCTCACAACCTTACACATGGCATAAAAATAGCACACTGACAACACTAGAAACACACACACACATACACACACGCACACACACACACACGCGTAAACACGTACACACACACACACACGTAAACACGCAGTGAATCTCGCCTAAGGTGGTCAGATGATGTTAAACTAACGAAGCCATTTGTCAACGGGTATGTGTGCCTCGCTCGCTAAATAATAAGATCGAACGTAAGAGTGAACGTGAGAGTGAACACTGGAGTGAACGTTGGAGTGAACGTTTGAGTGCACATGAGATTGAGCGTTGGAATGAACATGAGAGTGAACTTTGACGTGAACATGAGATTAAATATCAAAGTGAACACGAAAATGAACATTAAAGTAAGCATTGGATTTAACCCGAGAATGAATATTGATTTGCAGGAATGATGGCGAACATTGGAGCAAACACAAAAGTGAACATCTGAAGGAACATTGGAGTGGAAATAAAAATGAATGCTTAGAATGAACATTGGAAGATGATAAAAAGTGAACAGCAAAGCAAAATGCATCAGAAGGAATGATTTGCATCTCAAAGTGAACGAATCATCACCGAGAATGTAGAGATGTCCTGTCGAATGAATTATACAGGAGAATCGTAACAAGAGTGAATACTAAAACAAATGACAAACACTGAAGCGAACCGTAGGATGAACACAAGTATGAACATTGAAATGAACAATAAGGTAAACCATTAAAAAACATGAGAAAAAACATTGAAGAAGAAACTGAAAAAATTTTGAAGGGTGCAACGGGGTGAACAATAGAATGAACATTAGAGTGAGCAATAGAACAAACGTTGTAGTGAACATTGGAGTGAACATTGTAGTGAACAATAAAATGAACATCGGAGTGAACGTGAAAGTGAACAACAGTGAAATGAATACAAATGTCGGATTAAAGAGATGACATAAAATGGATAAAAATGTCGATAGGCATCATGAAAACAGGGATGGTGGGTGGGCCATGATGATGATGATGATGATGATGACGATAAAGTGGTGATGATTACGATGTGGTGATGAAGACGATGATGTGGTGATGATGATAATGATGGTGATGACGATGATGATGATGACGATGAAGGGGTGATGATGATGATGATGGGGCGAAGGTGATGACGACGATGATGACGAAAAAGTGCCTTAAAAATGTTGTCAGATTGTCAACCATGATGCATGGAGTATGAAAATTTGTTCAACGAAAGTTAAACATTCGCTTCAAATTTTTAATATTACCAAATGATGGATGGATGGATGGATGGATGGATGGATGGATGGATGGATGGATGGATGGATGGATGGATGGATGGATGGATGAATGGATGGATGGATGGATGGATGGATGGATGGATGGATGGATGGATGGATGGATGGATGGATGGATGGATGGATGGATGGAAAGAGATAGACGGATGAAACAAATGATGTATTAGTGGATTGTTGTGAAACTGAGAGAGTTCATTTAAAATTTCTTATCACAACACATTTCATTTCAAAAATAATCATAAAAATAGTTAGCACTCGAAAGATGTTGATACTTTTGTTCAAAAATTGCTTTCAACTCCAACATTCATGACATTCAATTGTAGTAATGATACTCATATCACGTGACGCTTCGCCCACGTCACATTATTCAAAATATAATTATTACCGACCCAACAATCCATCCCTGATATTTTAGACCTTAAAACATGGGACCGAGAAGACGCGCGGTGTAATGAACATGTCCTCTTGCGTATGAAACGTCAGGAAAGGTGGCGTCGATGATTCTGTCAATTTCATGCTTGGTGTGTTGGAGTGGGGTGGAGGTTGCCAATCAATTTATGATAGGGGGACTCTAAATGATGATGTTGTTGTTGTTGGTGGTGGTGGTTGTGGTGATGGTAATGTTGTTGATGTTGTTGGGTCGTTTTTATATTTTGCTAGTTATGTTTAAATTAATAAATAATGTTTTTCCAACATTGTCATTCATTTTTGTTGCTCTGAATTTTTATGAATGACTTACGTAACTCTGTTTTATGGTCATCTTCAATAGCCATCCTATTTCCAACCGAAATGTCTCGCCATACTCACTTCCAGGGCAATCACGTGATGTTCACAAAACAACAACGTCATCAATTTCGTAATCACAAATCCCATTCTACCTATCAGGACCTTCTCACGCTTGGTCATTTCATTCAACTTCACAATTCCAATCATTTCCATTTTCAGGATCATAATAACATTCAACTGCATCATCATCATCAACAACATCATCATTATCAACAGCATCATCATCATCAACAACATCATCGTCATCATTAACAGCATCATCATCATCAACATCAAAATCATCATCATCATCACCAACAACATCGTCATAATCATCAACTATATTATCAACAATAGCAACGTTATCATCCTCAACATCGTCAACTCGCGTTTTTCTTAAGCCTTCATGACACATGAAACCATATCTTCCCAAGTTAACATCACATGTGAGTCTGAACAGGTAGCATTAAGATGAATCCATTGGCTCATACTCTGTATGACAACATATTTCCAATGAATTGTTTATGTTTGTTAATGAACGTCTACTGTGTTTTATGCTTTCATGTTCGTCATCTTGTTGGCACATCAAATTAAATTTACATTACAGGATAAAAATTGCGTGCGAAAAATTATTTTGATAGAATATATATACAGGTGAATAGTTGCTACAATAGTTACACTACATAGTAAATGGTTGTTCTGCTTAAGAGCAGGTAGAAAGTTAATGGTTGCTCTGTGTGTGACCAGTGGCAAACCTCAAATGAAAGAAAATTCTCGAAGTTTGTTGTCGAATGATCGTTTAATTATTTAAAATTTTTTTTTATTTTTTTAGATCACCCTCAAAAGTTCTCAACTTTGAAATTCAGATTATCGTATATATTGCATTATTATTTTAAAAGTAATTTTCCATTTTTTAATGGCTTAATATTATTTAGCTAACAAAATGCACCAGTTTGTAGTGTAATATTTTAAAATTGACTGAAACATCACAAGTTATTTTCATCAGTTTCCTTTTGTGATAAAGTCTTTCAATGATCAGCCATCGTGAATGTTTTTACGTATGAGCCAATAACAGAAATATGCAAGCTTGGTAAGAGAAGCAGGTGACCCGCTGAAGTGAAGAAGTGCAACTGCTGAGTTCACAAATCAATTTCGTTATCATTCCTTTTATGTCTATAATTGTCGCCAGTAGAAACAGTTGAGATCCAGCCGAAATAATCCACTGTGTAGTTTCAAGTCGCTCGTATCAGCATCCCAATGAAATTTAAACCATAGTTCTATTGTTACGATTCTTAATATAATTTTAATCATGTTGTTTTAATTATCAACATCAAATTTTTCTTATTGAGAATGTTGTTGTTGTTGTTGTTGTTGTTGTTGTTGTTGTTGTTGTTGTTGTTACTGGAAACCTGCCTATAATGTTGATGTTATTGATTTGTTGCAACATGCCATTGTCACCTTACCTCACCCAACTCACCTTCTTCCTTTGTTGTTTGTTTCAATTGTTCTTCACAACATTCTGACTGACTGGAGCAGTGAATATTTAATAAATAAATACCCTATCGATCATTCAACAATGATTAAGTGTTTTCATTATAGATTTCTCTCATCGCAACGATCCCCCCTCAACATAAAATGTCTGCGTGTGCGTGCGTGTGGTTCGTGTGGCGCGTGTAGTGCGTGTGTGTGGTTCGTGTGGTACGTGCGTTTATACAGGCGCAAACTTGAAGCAGGCGAGCATCCAACACAAAGCATGCATTCGTAGAGACATACTTGCACACATGTCTACACAGACTTGGGACAATACACACAAGCAGACAGACACATCTACCTGCCAGAAATTACATTGACATATAGTCATATACATACACATTCTTCATTTTTATCTTTATTCGTACAATTATTTATGCATTCATTTATATATTTTTATTGAAAAAAATACATGCCAGACTCAGCAATTTAAACCAACACTCGCAAACAAAAAACAAACATATACAAACAAACACATACAAACAAACACATACAAAATAACACAGCCACATACCAACACACGTGGCTATTAACACGGAAACACACAGACAGAAAAACGATAACACGAGCAACGAACACACACACACACACACAGTTACACAAACAAACACACACAGTTACACAAACGAACACACACAGTTACACAAACAGACAGTAACACAAACAAACACACACACACACGAACGGGCGCACATATACACACACACGAACGCACGGACACACACATACACATACACACACACGAACGCACACATACACACACACACACAAACTCATTGAGCGCTGATACGTGTCCTCCATCACGCAGTCATGAAACGGACATTCGCTAAAAATGCATTCAATTTAAATTACCTGCGTGTTAGTGCAGGACTAACTTTTTTCGCTTTTTATTTTTTTCTAAGAAAAATTGTCTTGCTGTGGCTGCTGTGGCTCGATGTGGGGCTTCTCGTTGTGGTTGTCTGTGGCGTCTGTTTTCAAGCACGTATGTTCTATCTTCGTACCTGATCCGTTTTTATTTTTGTTCCTTACGTATTTAATACATACATTCCAATTGTATTTTAAATTTTGTTTCTTATGTATTTGATACGTACATTCTCATTATGTTTAATTTTATTAAAGTTGTTCTGCTGGCTTTCTTTATTATTTTTCTCCTGTAGATTTCAATCCAAACATTTCAAAGCATGGAGCTCGATTCCTGTTGTGGGTTTGTGAACACTTCATTTCATCTCGGAAGGGATGTTATTTTAAAAGTGAAAATTTTCCACCCGTCTGTATGTCTGTCCATCTTTTTAACGTCGCCTGAAAATTGTGAATTATCATCACAACCGCTCTTCTCAGATGTACTTTCAGTACTGCAGTTTTTTTCATTATTGTTGTTCCTTACTGTTGTGATTGTTACTATTGATGTGATTGTTACTATGGTTGTAATTGTTGTGATTTTTATTATGGTTGTGATTTTTGTTATAGTTGTATTCGTTCGTTTGCGCAATGTCTGAAATTTATTTTTGTTAGAGAACAACAGCAAGTAGATTGACCAATCCATTTCAACTAGCTCCTTCATCTTCTTTAGATTTCTTTTTTTTCTTTTTCAGTTTTTTCGTGAGGAACAAATTTCCAATCCACTTTTGCGAATTAAAATGAAGCGCACCATCAATCGCTCCCGTTGCAATTTATTTCCATTTCGTAAATAATTGATCTTTAAATTGTTTCAGAAACGTCGCGAACCAGCGTTCGACGATTGGTTGGCGGTGGTGGCCGTCGTAATGGAAGGAACTTCAACTCCCACCATTTCCAAATTTAACAACATTTTCTAGTTGGGAGCATGACATTTTTTTGAAAATCATTAGTAATTCTGTGAAGACCACTGCAACAATTTTTCCACGTGTCTTCCAGCAGGTTAAGATATCTGAAGTCTTCAATCTGCAATCCATTCAAAATCATGTGGTTAGTTGTTAGGATTGTTACAAGTGGTTTCAAAGTTTAGTTAGGCTAAATATTAATTGCAAAAGTTTATTTTGGTTTTCAAACATTCGAGTGTTTCAAAAGCGTTTAAATAAGGTTGAAACCGTTCAATGACTATAATTTCGTCACATGATCCCCACCATCTTCTTCGTGCTTGACAAATTATTATTAGGTTGTAAGTTGAAAATATTTTGTAGTTGTTGGTTCAAACGTTGAGAATAACTTTCCATGAAACCACCTGCGTTAATCAAACATTTCAAAAACTTTGTAAAATATTCTCTTCTATCAGTTACTCATTGATTGGAACAGCTCTTTTGTGTGTCATTGGAGGACGCTATATAAATTGTCTGGTAATAATACATCTTTATTTGTTTATTTATTCATTCGTGTTTATATAAAACCAAATTAAAAACAGAATGCACATGCACTTCTTATTAAGTTTGTAGACGAGAGTAACAGCCACACGAGGGCCTGGCACCGACATCAGCTGATCTCCTCGCGTTCCTCTTGCATTTTGAAATGGAGCAGATTTGATTTGCAACTCGCCGTTCATGTGGACAATTGCTGAATGAATGTGAAAGTTGTTTGTATCTCATTATTGAAGCTGTTTACGTGATTTTTCATTAAAATTATTGGAATAAACTTCTTATATCTTCACTGAAACTAAGATTTGGCCGAATGCTTCACACACACTACACATGCACAAAATTCATGCATTGAAACAGTAGGTACATATAAATCTACATAACATCCACCCACACGGTACACATGTACCTTCATAGTACGCACGCACTCAAATAGTACACACACATGCGCTCACATAGCTCGATAACATGCAACCCCACATACTGCTCTCTCTAATGAGATTTTATATCGCGACCAGAAGTAAGACCATTGTTGAACGATATTGAAACTTTTTGTACATTCGACTGAACATAATAACATCGCATACAATTTTTTCGTTGTAACGCATTGCAGTCAACACATTTTCACTACTCAATAAGTAATTCAAAGGACACATGCGAATTACCGCAAGTCGTATAGCATGTGTTTGTGTGTATTTATAGTATGTCGACTAGAAATTGATATTGAAAAACCGGAACTGAATAGCGTCTGATTTTTTCCCAAAAGTACTCATAAAAATTTGTTGGCAATAAATCAATGATTACTTTAAATAACGCTTAAAACATAATTTATTAAATCAATTATATTTGACACTCAAATGATTGTCAGACAAATTTTATTGTCTCACAATAACACAATAATCTTTCACATAAATCTTTCACTTTAGTCATCATAACTGCTTCAATAGTTTGTCCAGATAAACCGGTTTTTCTCATCTGACAGATAAGTATCTATTAATTAAAATACTCTTTCAAGTAGAGCGTTGATCAATCATGGATTTGTAAAAAAATTTCCAAGTTCAGCGGTATATCTTTCTTTCTTGTAGAACAGCAAAAATCTACCGCCATCTTCTGTTGTAAAGTCTGCTGCAATATTACTTTCGCTCAATATACCACTAAAAGTGAGCATGAACTGACATTGATATCTTTTCAACATCTCAAATTCAAAACATATTATGAATTAGTGATATTCGTGATGATACCGAAACATAATGTCCAGTGAAATCTTATCATTGCTTCTTATCACCTATTAACTTTTTTCTTTTCCATTTGATATACGCCTCTACACTTGAGTTCAGTTCAGTCACATTACCCTTATTTGAATCACCGTCAGCAACTACAACGGCAACATCAACTGAAACAAACAAAACTATGACAAAAACAGCTACTACCTTACTTCTACTAACTTTTCTTCTATACTGCAACTACCACAACTACTACTGCTGCAACTACTACCATTAAAATTCCAATCTATAGGAACATTGCACTGATTGCACGTGAGACTTTATTTTTCGTGAAATTAAAGCATTGCCTTGGAGCCGTAAAGAATTTTTTCCATCAAAATGTTTTTATTTCGAGTGCTGAAAATTTGCTAATAAAACGTTCTTTGTTCATATACGTGTATGTGATGTAAATTTTGCTTAGGTTCAGTGGCAAATTTATTAGGATCGAGAAAGTTTCCTCCCCTCTCGCTATCAGCAGTTCATCAACTTTTTCTGCAAATATTTTTAAATTTCGTCAACATTTATTATCAAAAACTTTTTAGCCATTCAAAACTGTGCCAAATGACTCCAAGTCTCCTATTACTCAAAAAATTTTGTTTTGCCCTCTCCCATCAAAGCTTGGAAAGCTTGGTCCCCTCTGTCAAAGTTGTCTGAATCTGCCCTTGCTTAGGTTGTTTGTGTTAGTTTAATAACAAAGGTGTAGCAACTGCTTGGAAAATTTTTCATCCAAGTCTCTACCGATTTACGTTCTTTTTTATTTGTGTTACGAGTCCGGGTGTTGTTTGATGGTCATTAAATCATGTCCCGACGACGTAAAACAGAAATATAAACAGCATCGAGACCGAACGATATAATGTAGATTCATTATACACCATTCAACGAATAAACCCAAACATGCACCTTCCTATAAATCTCATATCAAGCCGACAACCGAAAGCGAAAAAACGAACATTTGGACATGTGGACACAAACACTCTCTCTCTCACACACACACACACACACACACACATATAATTACATTACCCTGTCCATATGCAAGTCACATTTCTGCTAACAACAAAAACCATCCGTCCGTACAAGCCACCACACGCACGTACGCACACGCGCACTCGCTTATAACTGGATTATTTCTCCAATGTAGCCATCTCATATGCATATTTCATCCTTAGCTCGCAAGCCGCGTCACGAAAAAATTATTCTAGAAAAATAAAATAATTCCTAATTTGTTCATTTGCTTGCGGAGATTTCCATATATTTCCCAGGACGCTGCTATGTTATTGCAATGTACACATGCAAAACGTCGCTAAACGCATATATCGGTATTTCATTTATTTTCAATTCATTTTTAATTTAAAAAATTAGACCGAACATTTTATTTGTGTTTGTTGAACGTCGATATTCAGAGCACGTTTCAACTTCTATGTTGGTGTGCAGTTCAAGCTGCGACTTGTTTTTATATCTTGATGGTTTCTAAGTAATGTATCTGCACGGGCTGTAAGTAAAAAAATGTATTCAAATGATTTTTTTATAAGGTCAGAAAGTTAAAAATTTAAAAATAAATATTAAATTTATATCCACCAACAGAATTTAACTTTCTGTAGAAATTTTTTGTATTTTGAATTTGGAAGGCAAAGAAATAAATTTAACAGGCAGTTAACAAATCACACAGCAACTAAATCGGATTTGTAGGATCTGCGTGTGTGGGGGATTATACTAATGCGTCATAATAATTTCCGCGAAAATTTCATTTAAAATAAAATAAGTTTCGCGAAAAATAATTGTAAAACAGTTACACAAAAATTTTCAGCATCAAAATACTTAAAGAATGTAAACAGATAATAAATAAATTCATTGGGCTGAGCGGTTGTAGAGATTGCACAAAGTTGACGCGTGGAATTTACTCACACCATCATGGGAGGGTCATCGTCAGAGGGATACAAAATGTAAATCAACTTTCGGTCAGTCCATGGATCACTAGTTTTGCGCCTGACTGGACAACTCTATCAAAGTTACAATGTAGAACATAGATTTATATCCATGATGTAGAATTGATACAGTTTGCAAACCAGTGTCGAACAGATTATTTATCTCACCTACTTACTCATAACTTTTCAAATGAAATTATATTTCAATAGTTTCATTGGATAAACGTGGGGGGTCATGGCTAAGAGAGGTTACAGAAAAAACCCACCCGAGTTTTCAATTTAAATTTGTTTCCCTTAATGAAAAACAAAAAAATTTTTTATATGAAAAAATGGTCATCAAAAGTTTGTCGTCAAAAAAGATCTAATATATTTCACATCAGTTGATTTCAAATGATTTCACTTTAGAAAAAACGTTTCCTAATGAATAGGGCTAAGTTTAATTTATCAATAGTTGGCATGTTTAAATTATGTCTGTAAGAATGACGAACCATGTATGTTAGGACCGGATTTGCTACCATAATTAAAACTGACTCACCACACGAAACTCCCATTTACTGAATGCTCTACAGTCGTACGCTAGCAGTAAAGACCTTACCAGCAAAACTTCTGTCTGCCGTGGTCTACAGTCATAAACTGACCTAGAAGCATTTACGTCATTATATTCCATAATTCATCATTTACAAATCATCACAACCCAGACTCTTCGTGATTTCATTGCAGAAGCTGTTCTTGCTTCCAATTACATTTATAAGTTTATAAGTGAATGAATCAGTGGCGTCACTAGGGTTGGTGTCACCCGGTGCGGTAACTCATGGTGTCACCCCTCTCATGACAACCCATAGACATACAGCATTCTCAGCATAATTTATAAATAAATTTACAACGACAATAGAAGAAAAAATAATTCAAGGTCGATTTTTTTATTCTTTAAAAAAAATTGTGATCTATCAAAGATTTTAAGAAATAAAACTAAATAGAAAATATGTCACTTTTTTAATTGTTATTTTTACATTAAATTTTATGTCACATTAAATCTCAACTAAATCAGATCTTCCCTTTCCTCGCCTTTAAAGATGCAAACTTGTTAATTACTTCATCAAAATCAACTTCTTTTGCCAAATCTCTTTCAATTGATAATATTGCAAGATCAGAAAGCCTAGACTGTACCATAGTAGATCGCAAATAGTTCTTTATAATCTTTAGCTTTGAAAAACTCCTCTCACATGAAGCCACAGACACACAGATTGTAAGAAATAATTGTAGGCTCACTGAGAGATATGGGAGAGATTCTAGGAAGTCCCATTCAACTATGAATTTCAAAATGTCAAGTACTGACCAGTCTTTGGCTTCTTCAAGATCAATCTCTGCAGCCTTCAGATATCTTCTCAGTCTTGGTATTTCTAATAAAAGCTCTATTTCTGATAACTCATCATAGAATGTGGTCAATTTTGGAATGTTTACCAATAACTCTTCTTTAGTAGCAGATATCAAACTCTTGGCTTGAACAACCTCAAACCTGGCTGCTACTTCCTTGATGGCTCTTGATCTGATCTGGAGTTCAGAATGGAAACGATCAATACACTCATACATCGCTCTCTTGTTTTCTTCCTGCAGAGTAAGTCCAGCATCTCTCGTCTTCTCGCGCTCGCCTGCCATCCTCTTCTTGAACCTGGGTCTGCTCTCTACTGAAATTCCATATTGGTCTGATTTTATGCCTGTTCAATTGCCTGCTCCACAAGATGATTGCGCTTCTCATACATAAAAAGTCTTAGTGTCTCTAGCTTTGTCGCCACCTTGTCAAGACTTAAGCCCTTAGTCTGAAGGTACAGCTGCGTTAGATTTACTTCTTCAAGTACATCACACCAAAAGAAGAGATAGCACAGAAAAGTGAAATTGCAGATAGCAGGTAAAAGACCTCGGGCTGTACCTAGATTTTCCCCTAGATCACAAAGAGCTTCTATTGCCGTCACACATTCATCAAATTTTTCTTTCACTGCCTTTACTGCTGCGTGATGAGAACTCCAGCGTGTTGTTGATAATCTTTTTAATGAAACTCCAGTGTGGTTCATTAAAACATCCCATCGGTGAGTGGAAGCAGCAAAGAATGAAAAAATTGTCTCAAGAGTTCCAAAAAAAGTCACGCACAAAGCATTTTCAGCAAAAGAGTGTTGGCCACACAAGTTAAGAGAATGATCCACACAACCATTAAAAATAGCTTTCCTGTTCTTTCTTTTCAAAATGGCTTGTACACCCCCATGGATTCCAGCCATAGTCGCAGCATTGTCGTAACCTTGAGCGCGGCACATCATAAAGTTGAGTCCATCACTTTCCAAATTTTCGAGAATATCAGAACTGAGATCAGCAGCTTTTTTCCCTTTTAAAGGAAAAAATCCCAGAAACACTTCTCTTACTTCAACTTTTCTATTATGAATTTTCACATATCTGATAATTTCAGACATTTGGTCATTGTGTGATGCGTCGGGTGTGCTATCAAACATGATACCAAAATACCGGGCAGATTTTATATCCATGATAAGCTTCTCCTTCACATGATTTGCTAGGACATGAATAAACTCATTCTGAGTATTTGGTGCAAGATAAGATGCTGATGCTTTAGTTTTATGTGTGCTTTGCTTTAATCTTAATAGGTGCTCTTTTAGCACTGAGTCATATTTAGAAAGCATCTCAACCATTTCAAGAAAGTTTCCTTTATTTAATGAAGATTCTTCTTCATTGTGGCCCCGAAAAGCCAGATTTTGCTTGGCGAGAAACAATGTAATATCGAGCAGCCTATGCAAGATGTCTCTCCACTTTTTCTTCTCTATGTCTATCAAAGCAATATTTTCTGCATCAATTGTTTTGTGCATTCTAAGTCTCACCTCCAAGGTTTTCCATTTTTCAAAGCAATGCAAGTGAGCATCGGATGTCTCATGATTAGGCACTTTCGGGCTCATTTTCCACCATGTCTGAAATCCAGTCACAAATTTGGATGTTGTGTCTGTAGCATTAACGGCAAAGAGTCCGCAGCAAAAACAATATAATTTTTCACTGACGGGAGAATAAACCATCCATGTTCGCAACACCTTCTCACCATTTGGCATCACCATATAAAACCACTCTTTAGATAGCTGGCGAACATCACCTTTAGCTTTTAGATCTTGCCTCGTCAACATCCTGAAAGGCCCATCTTTGTTCTGGAGATATGCACTTCCTCTTTTGATGATTTGAACGCGCAATTGATCTGGAATTGGTATATTCCAATAAGAAGCATCACCCAAAACATTCCAATTTTTCCCCGTAAGTTCATTTTCAGTATCATATTTAGAGTCACTATTATCAGTCCACTCTTCTGCTACAAATTCATCTATTTCTTTATCTTGTTCTGCTCTATTTTCTTCTATATTAATGTTTTCCTCTGCTGACTGCATACCAGCATCAGATAAATTAGTCTCATCATTTTGTGGTTGAGGAACTGTGTCTTTGGAAGAACTCTGGGCCTCATCTGATCCCTTTACATATTGCATCATAGATCCGCGCAATGTAGATAGTATTTCATCTTTCTTTATTTTGGCTTTTCTTTGTTGACATCCGCTTAGCCTTTTTGTTGTATGAACTTCACTTCCACGTGGCATGATATAATATCCTTCAACAATAAATATATAAATATAAATAAATAAAATGAAATTATTTGAAATTTGGTTGGTTAAATTAAATGTAAAAATTTTAAAATTATTTAAATGCTAATAAAACAAATTATATTTGTACTTACGGATCAACTTTTGTGAAATTACTTTGAATTGTTGTCTGATATCATTAAATTGATTAAAAATTAAATAATTTTTTACTTTAAGTAAATTATAGATTATTCTCTTAAACTTGACTAACACACGCGCGTAGTAGGTGGGCAAAACAAACACTGTTGTACGTTATGTTAGACACGAACAAGTTAAATGTGCGCGGCGCTTAATAATTCGGACGTCAAATGGTATAAACGTGGAATACAAAAATGGATGATTTGAACGAAAGAAATTTTATTCATAATACATTTCTGGGCGCTGGGCGGGTTAGGCTGAATCAATGCTAAGAATAATTTCATGGAGGGACATAAAAACATATACAGTGATATTTTGGTGTCACCCCTTGTGAGGGTGTCACCCGGTGCGGTCCGCACCCCCCGCACCCCCTAGTGACGCTCCTGGAATGAATACCATAGATAAGATAAAATTAATATGGAGTAAAATCTGAAACGTAGGAGAAACTATGGAGAATAAAATGAGGTGCAGTGTCTAACTCAAAAAAAGTGGAGAAGCACCAGGAAAGTTAGACATCCCTTGGCCGTTTATAAAAAGTTAATGGATGGATTGTGTAAAAATCTTATAGTTTGTTGTCATGCATATGGATATTCTTTATAAAAACATTCGATTATGTTATAAATTGGAGCAATTTCCATTAAAAAATAAAACATTGCTTAAGAAAGATCATGAGCAAATTATGAAATCTACAAGCATCCAAATATAATAGATGTCGCACAGGGTAAGTCATGTCAAAGAATAAAATGAATGTTTGTTTTTATGAAATAGTGCAAACCGAAGCATCAATCATTCAATCAATCAATCAATTAGCTTATAAAGCGCTATTTCCGCAATGTTCAACAGCGCTCCTCAATGAATTTTGAAAACAGATGGGTCTTGAGATCCGCTCTGAACTTCGCAAGTGATGGAGAAGTAGTCAGAGAAGTAGGTAGAGAGTTCCAGAGAAAAGGACCAAAAAAAGCAAAAGCAGATTTGGCAAAAGAGTGTTTAACACGAGTTAAGAAAAAGCGAGAAGAAGACGATCGTAAACCGGGGCGTTTAGGTTCAATTAATATATCTGATAAATACTTAGGAAATAATTTAGATTGAGACTTATACATGAACGTGCAAATTTTAAAAATTATTCTATATTTTATAGGTAGCCAGTGCAAGAGAACAAGATATAGAGATATATGAGAAAAGAAAGGGGCACGAGCAACTAGACGAGCAGCAGAGCAGCATGATTGGTCAAGCGGTAAGTGTTTTGGAAAAGTAAAATCGTGTAACCTCTGTTCCGAAAACCATTATCTTTGAATGTGCCAGATCATCAAATCATATCAGATCTATCAATTTAACGTCAGCTGCCGGACCTTCAACTAACACTTGAATAAAAAATAGCAAATTCAATGATATTCAGAGAAGAAGGCCAGGAGGAAGCTTGAAGCTGAAGCCTCTCCCAAAATGAAAAATTTTGCAATGGCTTGTTAAGGATAATTTAGCCGAAACTTCTACATCAATTTGCAGAAATTTGGACTGAAAACTATTTCAAGCCAACACAATAACAATAAAATTAAGCTAAATTTGTGTTTGTGTGATAAGCAAAAAAGATTAACTTTTTTTTAACAAATTAATGATTACACCACTGATGCTACTACCATTTACCAGAATAAACACATCACAAACATGTAGCAGGGGTCTGTTTATAATTATTTATTTGGTCTCCTATCCATTCGTTTACTTTTAACATTTATTAAGTGTTCACGTTGATGTTTAACTTGCGCAGATGTTTATGACCAGGTTTTGAAGAAGAAAAGGTGAATGCAACCAATGCAGCAGAAATAAATTAGACAGACATTTGCATTGCCACTTCTGACAATATCGCTTCTGGGCTCGAAAATATTTAAATGTCTCCGAGGAACCCTAAAGTTATTGCTCTGTACAAAGCGGTTAGTTAGTAACTGTTATGGTTTGGTTACTTTTCGTCTTTGTACTATACCTTGTGTAGGCATTCGCATTTAAATTAGGATATAATATTAATACTACAAGGTTAGTACTAAGAATAATATACTAACTAAAACTAAACCAATGATTATTACATTGAATTAGCAATTAGCATTAGTTACTTGTTTATGTTTACCTTCCAAGCTTTCAAACTTTATTACATTATTATCATCGATATATTATATTCTTTATTATATATACACACACACACACCTGGTTCTGTGTATAATATAATTATATATAATTATTATATATTATATATTCGTTTCATAGTCAACTCTAAATTAACTCTTTTTCAACTGAAAAAAATCACACTTAAAAATAAATAATAAAAATATACATAATTAATTATATAATAATACAATATGATTAGTATAGTAATATTTATATTGTATAGATAGTGTTGTCAGGTTAGTATAGTACTATATTATTACATTGTATTATTATTATCATAAGTATGGTTGCATTAACTCTAACCTAACTATATAAGTGTATTTGTATGGTGCTTGTGTGTAAAGTATACTATGTAATGAGAGCACAAGCCATAAACATACTACAATTAAATTAAAAACATTGCATACATAAAATTTAAAATAATTGAAATATATATTGTTGAAATATTCATTATTTTTTGTGTATATCTTTTGTACATATTTGTCTATTTATTTTGATATAAATATATAACATGAAACTTGATTTAATTGCTTTTCTTATGTGATGTATTTAAGTAAAATTTTTTTCATTTATAATCTTCTATACCTACTTTTATTTTGTTAAATGGAATCCAGTGAATGCAACCAAACTATAATTTATTTGTCAGCTTTTGCATATGGGCAAAGAATATCCCAAAGGTTATGAATATTTTAGAAATAAAGCAAAATCAATTTTTTTGAAAAACAAAGATGTGACCGATGAAACTGAAATAGAGAAGCTTCTACATAGAGGACAGTTCGTCTTGAAGGAATTAGAGACTCTTTACATGTTGAGAAAGTATCGAACACTCAAAAAAAGATATAATCCAGACGAATGAGTATTACAACAACTATATATCATCCTCCATGTTATTAAAAAAGCACTTTGTAAATATTGTAATTTAAATCTGTTAAATTTTATTTTATTGCATCCATTAACATTTAGTTTATATAAAAAAAACAATATAATTAAATCATGTCTTAATTAAAAAGTAATGGAGTTTTAGTTAAAAGTTACTGACACTTCAAAATTATTTTATGTGTATAAACGTAAAGTTATGAAAAAGAGATGCACCAATTTTTACAAATATTACCTGATGACTTACAAATTCTTTTGATTTACATAATTTTTAAACTAAACGAAATACGTTACTTATAGGAGGAGATCATAATAAAATAAAATCTATTTATAAAATGACTAGAACTAATTGAATACATTAGATCACTGTTATAATTATCAAATTAGAACAATGCCAATGGAACTTTCGTTGTTGGTTTATTTTTCTTGCACTTTCAACTCTGTGTTTATTGCTGTTTCAAGTACATCCAACATGTTTTTGTTTGTTTCATAATAGGTTCTGTTGACAAACGCCCTCAATATCCATGGATATGTTAGTGTACATGTTTGAATCACGTTGGAGTATGATGTTATGATTATGTCATGTTTACTTACATCTATTTCGGGATAGTTCAAATTTGTAGCAGCTGATTGAGATATTCCTGAGCTTTCACCATTTTGCAGTTTAATTTGTTTGATTTTGTACATGACCTCTGCTGTTAAGAGTCCATAAAATGTGGAGTAGTAAATGTTCGTTGAAAGCTCTTTTGAATTTGATGTAGAATAGGCAGACACATTCATGACTCCAATGTGTTGAAAATATTCTGATACAATGTAGTGCCTGTGTTCCGTATAATTTCCCTCGTGCTTCAGATCTAATTCATGCACTGCACGAACATTGAAATTAATATCAACTAGAAAGCTGGGGTTTCTTAAAAAGTGAAATACGATAGATGCATTGTGGTTGATGATTTTTTGCAATCGGAATGTGAACGTGTTGGAATGGAGAATAAGGTATGCTGACAGAGCAACAAAGAGACCCACTGCGGCTGTAACGTGCTGTAACTTCAACATTTTCAATTAAATCTAGTTTTCAAAAATTTTAATGAACCTAATGCTAATCTAAATTCTAATCAATCTCCAATTGTCTCTACTCTCTAACGATGATAATAAAATAAAATAAGTCTACTAATCTAATCTCTAATAGTTTTCTCTGCTAATCTAATGCTAATCTGATTGCCGAAAATTAGAATGGTGTGGAAGTTTTATTGGCTCCTCGTACATTTAAACAAACGTTACGAATTACGAACCAAACAATAACCGGTGACTTGTGGTGACTAGCACCGGTCAACTTGCTGAACAAAAAGCACCAGACAAGACAAGGCTTCTAGTTGTTTACTTTTGAATTTGATGTTGGGAAATTCACTTTTATAAACATTTAAAAGGAAATTTTTATTTCGAAATTAATTAATTGGTACATGATCTAACTTGGGGTGATGTTATGATATGGCATGGGGATAGGGTCTTTGAGTATATTGGATGACGTGAACTTTGTACCGGACAAAACACACGCCGCCGCGATTTAGGATGTCTTAACTCAATTTTAAAAATTATTCGAAGCATGATTTTTCATTTGTCTGAGATGGCTACTCTCATTCAATCTTAGTTCGAATCAATGATTTTAAGATTAAAAAGTTGTCAAATGTTGTTATGAATTTTGCTTATCTAACGAACAGATGCAATGTACGATAAAGTCAAAAACAATTCAAATTAAAAACTTTTTTCAAAACAATACGCTTAACATTTTATAAGTGAAAAATAATTCAAAATAGAATAAAGTAAAAGCGGACACTGACGATATTCATTTATAAATTGGTATGCATATAAGTTTCTAAAAATTATAACAAACACAATCAACATTCGACAAAAAATATGAAAAATATTTAGTGATATAGAGAAACACAAGTGACTAGTCAGTTTAAATGTTAGCTATTAATTAGCTATTAATGACTAAATGAAGAGGTAAATTGAAAGTTTGTATTGAATATAAAAAATTAATCAAAATAAATGTTTCCAGAAATTTAAACAATACATTGTAATAACAATAACGTCAATAAAAGACTGTCTGACACAACAGTTGTTGGAATCATGTGAAATTCGTACATGATTTCGTAAATAGATACTACATAACTGGACATGATGCGGCATAAAATGCAAGAGGATTGGGTCACGTTAAGATATATCCTTTGCCACACCTAGAAACGCCTCCCACATCTCTGCCAACTGTCGGTCCAAATTAATTATTCACCATAATCAAATAAAAAATTAATCATTATTAATTAATCCAAGACCGTAATTAAATTCGAGGATATTAATAAATTATCATTAACGTGCTATGATGATCAACATACAACAACAACAACACACGTTTAGACGACATTTTCCCCGAGATCGGGGGTTGCCGTTTGGCTACCTATGATGAAACCATTGTCACTTCTGTCATCATAAGTAATTTATTTGGCTAATTTTTACGCAGGACGCCCTTCCTTACGCAACCACAGTTATAAGCGGTGGGCCTAGCCTTTGATGATCCAACATCACTCACAAGGCAGTGAGGGTCAGTTTAATGTCATAACCAGGACAGATGATCAACATACAAGAAGACATAAACGACAACAGCTATGTACCAACCCTCATTTGTTGGTTGAGCATGATTTGCATATACTGGGTGACATCCTCTTTGAAATCAGATGCTCTCGTGTCGTCCATCCACTTCATTTCCTTCATTATGTTGCTTGATGTCTGCTGCAACTCACTGCTTAACTGTCCCTGACCATCCTGAAGGAAAGCGTACATTGGGCAGTACATCAAATTTAGTGAAGGTCAAAGTTTATTTTACATGAAGTCATTCTCAACATTATTGATGTCGCACAATCCTTTTCCCACGCTCTTCATATCATGCTCGTAAGTACCTCTGGTCCACAACTTGCAGTCATCTCGTTCTTGCTGGCCATCATCTTCTTCTTCATCGCATCATCCTCCTTGCATAACTTGTACAACCTCACTCGTTCCTGGAATGAATCCTTAACAATGACAAAATAATTAATGTACCGAATGTAACAGAAGTATCTGATGTTTTTAAAATGAAAAAAATGTAAGTTTCTAAATCATTTAAATATATCAAACAGCATCCAAAGGGATTAGTCATGTTCAAATCATGCTGAAATTTGTAATGAAAAAAATTTTTTTACTGAACGGCTTAATCTCATGAAGAGCCATGATGTCCAAAGAATTTATCATCTGGACCTGATCACAAAATGACGCAGATAAGCTGACAACAAAATAAATATTAAATGCTGTACATTTGAAAGTTAGTTCAACACCTTGGCAGATTGACACAGGCCCAAATGCTGATTCACAAGTTGCAGCAATATATAGAAATCTGCATTCGATTGGGATGAATACAAATATCCACATTCGTTCAAGGTTTCAGCCAATGAAGATAGAGCTCTTGAAAGTGAAACATGCTCTTCTGTTGTTGACAGCCAATCGATGCTCTTTGATAACGAGATTGTGCTTTGAGAAAGTTCTGTTAAAAAAAACAAAACCGCAAAACTTGTCCATCCACTTATTCAAACTATCAAATTTCCACCATTGAACAAGTTAAATATCCAATCATGAACAAAAATTCTTCAATGCGAAATTAAACATCAGACGATCTATATAGAAGTTTTAATAATGCTAAATTTTTCATTTTGGTAAATTGTGTGAGTCTCCCTAAATAAAATAAATATAAAATATGTAAAAGGAGAAATTTGCAGTTCACAATTTAATAAACAAACAATAAATAAAGAAATAAATAAATGGATTAGCAAGAGATATATAATAGGTGTAACGTTTTACATTAAAAAATCGTAAAGTATTTATGCCAAGTATTTAAACACTAGATATGTTTGTAAGAATTAAGATGAATCTATGGGAACTAGCCTTTCCTATGTGCATAGAGTTCTTCGACATTGTTGTACATGCTCCTCAGATGCACCTCCATCAACTCAACTTGTTGCTGCTTGTCTTCAAGCCACTCATTGTTTGTGGAGGTCTGTTTGTAATAATTTTCCATTACCTTGTACATTTATTATTGCATGTTTTACTTGTTTGCTGTTTTGAATAAAAGTTTGAAACTTTTAGAATAAATGTTTGATCGATATTAGCAATTGAGTGATCGAAATGGCACCTGCATTTAATGTGGACTGAGCTGAAAAATAAAAATTTTGAAAAAAAATTTATTTGGACTGATATTCGGCTGAGGAAATATTTTATATAAACAATCCTTAATCATCGGCACAAATTTGGGCATGAACAAGAAAACAGACAACCAACAACGAAAATTAAAGATTAATTATAAAGAAATCTTCAAGGAAAATTTTTTCAGTTTTCAGTTGTGACTGACTTAGTTGTGACTGGCGTGAGTAGTTGTAGTTGTTTCTTAGTTGAAAACATGGGACTGATTGATTCAACTGGAACATGGGACTGATTGATTCAACTGGAACATGGAACTGATTGATTCAACTGGAACTGATGATATGCTAGTTGGCTTAAATTAGGAAAATGAGCTGAGTTGCAGCGTTAAAACTCCACCGCACAATCAATCGTTGCTTGAACAAAATTTGAACAATTTGACTATAATTTTTATCAGAAATTTTCTGTGCTTTATTTAATCTCATTTAAAAACATCATCTTCATTTTTTTACTCCTTTGTAGAGGATCTTTATAATGTTGTAATATTTGACTGTTATCATCAAATTTTGGTTGTTCTAATGCAGTCAGTAAATTTCTTTCATGAAGATTATTATAGAGATTTTTCAGCAACAAATTTAAAAACTGTTCACCCGAAAAACGTCCGACGGCCAACACATTTCATTTTCTAATTCGCCGGCAATGGGCAAGCCGTAAAATTTATCGGCGGATTTTCGGCGCAAAAAATTCGGCGAATTCGGCCGCCGGCGGCTTCTTAAAAGTCTAAGTGGAGAGAGATGGTGAGGGAGTGAAGCAGTGGATGTTCATGATAAATACGCTTGTGAGACGCTTAAAATAAATTTAATATTTAGATTGAGCTGGTGAAATATTTAATGATTAAATTATTAATAGGTCATAAAATTTTTCTCTTAGTTGTTCAACACAAAATGTCACGAAAACATTAGCTGACAAACACAGTGGAACAAAACGAAAAAAATAACGCAGCATCAATGCATCTAAAAACAACAACACAATACGACTCAACAACACACGTTTAGACGACATTTTCCCAGAGATCGGGGGTTGCCGTTTGGCTACCTATGATGAAACCGAAATACCCCTCGACGCCATCCACATCTGTCACTCGCCTCAGTATCACGCAACCCCGCTTTCACCCTGTCCTTCTCCACCTGCTCTCTCCATCCCAATCGCGGACGACCCCTTCCTACCACTCCTTCAACCTCGAACTCCAACGCTCGCCTAATCCCGACCCTTTCATCCCTTCTCAACACATGTCCATAACCCTCTCTCCTCAACACCCAAGTTTCACCACCATATACCATCGCTGCTCTCACACATGCTTTATATACCCTCCCTTTCATCTTCACTGACCATTTCGTGTGCCCCCCTCACACCACTACATCTCTTATGCACCCATTTCAGACATCCTATACACAATACCGAGTTAGCCTTCACTCTCCTGTCACATACCCCACAGGGGTCTATTTTACTTATCACTCGCTCCCCACCTTCCCCACTCACCATTACCTTCGTCTTACCAATATTAACTTTTAACCCTTTCTTTTCAATAACACTTTTCCATCTGTCAAATTTTAACTGCAATTCTTCCATGCTATCAGCCATCAAGACTAAATCATCTGCATACAAAATATCAAATAACAACCCCTCCATTATGTTTCCACACACAACATCCATCACAATTGATCCAACACTGATCCTTGATGCACTCCTACCTTAACACTAAAAGCGTCCGACATCCCCCTTCCGACCCTCACCTTTGTCTTTGCCCCTTCATACAGCTGCATCACAGCTTTAACAAGTCTCTCATTCACTCCTTTCTTCCTCAACGCCCATTCAATGACCTTCCTCGGTACTCGATCAAAAGCCTTTTCTAGATCCACAAAACACATGTACAATCTTCGTTTCTTCTTTCTATAATTCTCCTGCAACATTCTCACCATGAACAACGCATCCACCGTTCCCCTACCAGGCATAAACCCACACTGCATTTCATTAACTGTCACCATATTTCTCAACCTCCTCTCAAGCACCCTCTCCACTACCTTCATTCCGTGCTCTAGCAATTTCACACCCCTATATGACCCACAATCTCTCACATCTCCTTTGCCCTTATACAACGGCACCAACACACTGTGTCGCCAATCCTCAGGTATACCTTCTCATCATAACTTCAATTCCTATCACCCCACTCGCTTTTATATGTTCTGCCGCCACTTCCGAAACCCCTGTCGCCTTACCTAGTTTCATTTCTCTAACTGCTTTCTCTACTTCCTCCATCGTCACCTTCTCTATAGGTCCGTGTGTGACCGCGGATTCCACATTTCCATCCCACTCATTCTCTTCATTCATCAACCTTTCCATATGAGCTTTCCCCACCTGAGCTTTTTCCTCTTCATCTATGCACAACTTACCAGATCCATCCCAAACACATCCATTCCCTATAACATCTTTCCTATCCCTCATTGATTGCTTTGCTACTTTGAACATTTTCCTCGAACTCACATCAAATTCCATTTCCTTTATTAACCTATCTGATGCTTTCGTCATTGCAGTTGCCACTGCCTGTTTTGCAACCTTCTTAGCCTTCCTATACTCAAACTCCGCTTCCTCCATTATGTCCCTTCTCCATACCCTAAACCTCTCCTTCTTGACCTCCAAAACCCTTCTTATATCCTCATCCCACCACCACGTCTCACCATGCCTACACTTTCCTTTCGTCCATCCACATACTTTATCTGCCGTAGCCAACACACAGTCCCTGTATCTCTCCCAAACATCTCCATCCTTACCACTCTCCCAATTTTCAGCCATCTTCACTTCAAATGCCTTCCTCACCTCTGCAACTTCCATGTCTTTCTCTTTGCCACAAACTTATCCTTCTTCCTCCTCCCCATTTCTTTTGATGTCATATCCATCACAACCATACTATGCTGCAGCACACCAGGTATCGCCTTCACATACTTCCTATGTTTGGCCCTTACCAATATATAGTCTATCATCGACCTATGCTCCCCTGACCTATATGTAATCAATCGCGCTGGTTCCCTTGTAAACCAGGTATTCTCCACCACCATGCTATGTGCATCCGCCAACTCCAACACTCTACGCCCTTCCTCATTCCGTATACCATATCCCCATCCCCCATGTACACCTTCATATCCGTCTGCATCCGCCCCCACATGACCATTCAAATCACCCAACAACACCACAAACTCATCCAACCCCGCTTGCCCAATCTCGTCAGAAACATCATCATAAAACCCATCCTTCTCCTCTTCCTTCCTACTTTGTTGCGGAGCATATCCTGATATCACCCTCACTATTACTTTTCCAAACACCATCACCACCACAATTACACCATTGCTTCTCCGCCTCACTTCCAACACCTTCTCCACCAACTCTTCTCTTACCATCACACCAACTCCTCCCGTACCATCATCCCCCTTCCACCACAACTTATATCTTCCACCTTTAGCCCCCACAAACCTTGTACCCTCACCCTTCCATCTGATCTCCTGTAATGCAGCCACGTCAACCATTCTCCTCTGCAGCTCCTCCACCACTTCCAAACTTCTTCCTGTCAACGTGCCTACATTCCAGGTACCAAACCTCCAACCCCTTGGTCTACAAGTAGTCCTTCTATCTATAGTGCCTTGCACAGCCACACTATAGAGTGGGGTGCCAGTAGCCAGACCATCCACAGGGCCTTGCACCACAACCCCATGGACTAGGTCTCCGGAGATTCTTTGCACCCTCTTCTGCCGGATACTGAGGGCCATTGTTATTTCCGTCATCATAAAAGTATTAATTTTTGGCTAGTTTTTACGCAGGACGCCCTTCCTTACGCAACCACAGTTATAAGCGGTGGGCCTAGCCTTTGATGATCCAACATCACTCACAAGGCAGTGAGGGTCAGTTTAATGTCATAACCAACACATTACGACTCGCACAACGAAATGAACAACAATCCACATACAACGGAACAACTAACACAACAGCAGCAACAACAACAGCAAAGTAACAGGCGACAACCTCCTCGGCATCATCCATCTTGTAGATGGCCAACTTGCTGATGTTCTCCCCCACCTTGTTGATGAACCTGAGGACCCTGGAGGAAGAGGACATAGTGGATGAACTGGACGACCTGGGCAGGGTACCCTCCAGCTCCAGGAAGTCAACCACGTTCGGATCAACCCTCAATGTTGGATGCTTGCATATGCACCTTAGAAATCTAATAGAAGACATTTATGACGGATGAAGTGAAGGGAATAAATGAAGTGAATAAGGAATCAACTGAAAAAGACAAGCACAACTGATCAATGTGTTCAAACAGAAATCTGAATAAAATTATTTGAATAAAATAATGAACACTGATACAAAACATTAAACAAATAACAGAGTAATGATAAATAATCAAAAATTGAACATGTCACAGAAGAAACCAAACATGAAACAACAACCCAATAATGACATGTACCACACCAGAGCATACCAGACCACATCACACCAGCAGCAGAATCATCAGGACACCTTTCAAGAGCCTCCCTCCTGTGCTCAATGAAATCATTGCAGGTTGATTCGTCTCTTGATATTTTCACTCTTGTTGTGCCTGGAAAAAGAAAATGTTTGTTTAAATTATGAAATTGTGATGAAAATAGCTAAAAATTTAAATAATACAGACAATAACAAAGCTACATTTAGCTGGAGAACAATAATGCGATCAAGTTGAAAGATGAAAAATATACTATTGCAAGAAACCAATTTGTAACAAACTCTTTAAAACTTGAACCAACGTAAATAAACTTTACAGAGGCCAGATAAACTATTCTTTTAAACAAAAAACAAGCCTAAGCAGCCTTCATCGGTCAGATCGTAGTAAAAACACCAGAGCAAGTCAGGCTCTCAGTTTAGGGTTAGAAATTAGAATTCATTATTTTAACACTTAGTCAAACTGGAAGACAAAATTGTTACAAAATAAAAGACAACATTTGACCAATATCTGATGTGTTTTATGTACATTATGTTTGATGTCTTATGTAACAATGTTTGCCATGTGCTAAGATATTTAATACATTCAAGTATTGGCAGCTGAATCTTGGTAAGTGTACACTGACCGATCGCATTTTTTTCAGGAGGGGAGGGGATGATGGTGCCAAGTTGTTTGTACTTGTCCACCAGCTTGCTGTGCAGGTATAAGAAGTCACTGAATCTTCTCGTAACTTCCGCATGATCCAGCTGGAACTCTGGAAGGTTAGTCTGAATTCGTTTTCAAGTTTGTTTATGTTTGTAGGCTTGTTTGTATTAAATTTTTGTTTGCAATTTTGTGTTCATTGGCATTCCTGTCTGTTTATACATGAAATAAACCCACATGGTATTTTTTCACCCAGTTTATAATTCATTTGGTAAATGAAAATTCAGAAGCATGACTAACATTGGTACATATCTTGTAGACGACATATGCATTCAAACCCTCTCCTACCTTCCTTGGATCCTTAACAGTTACTGCAATGAAGTGCTTGCTTTCTTCGTTCTAATGTATCATACAATATTATTCATCTATTAAAAATAAGGAATTTTGAAAAAATTCAAATATTTTCGTACTTTGATTATACGTATGATGAACAGATAAAAATATAATGTTCTTATGATTTTTAATCACTTTTAAAACAAAAGGTTATTTGAAATAACAATAAAAAATAACATCACTGAGCACTTGAATCCAAGCATAACACTTTTTCACAAGGCAATCAACAATGAAACAAAAATTAAATTGAAATCTCTCATCAACTTTAGCAGAAAAAAAAAATTTTGAAGTTCAAAAAGTTTATCCACACAACCACAGACACATAAAAAAATACTAGTTAAAAATGTGTCACATGTTTGTTATCCCAAATGCCTTTAGTTAAGTTGAATAAAATTATAACAAAAATAAAAACACTGGTGAGAAAGTTTAAGAAACTGAAAAACTAAAATGCAAGTTGACTCAGCCTCATTGCTCTGTTGTGGGTGCTGAGATGATTGGTGAACATAAGGTGAAGGTTGTTTGTTTGATGTCATCACACACTGGTCTATTGCTATGTCCTCAAAATACTCGTTGGCTTCTTAAATTGTTTCGATATAAAATGTTTGGTTAGAAATTTTAACTAATTTTTCTCTTTTTAATCATCACTTTGACATAAAATAATGTTAAAAATGACAAAATTATTATATAAAAATGTAGATGCAACTTGTACAAATGAAACAAAGAACCAGCAAAGATGTCATCCTCTTTATCAGCATGCTTCTCATGTTTCTGCTTATCACACTGCAAATTAAAAGTAAATTTTTTTTATACAAACACGCTATATTGTTGTTCAGTCACGTGATCATTCAATGTAATCTAAATTAGTTATCGGCATTATTGCCATTATGAACAGTACATTATACAAGAGACCAAACAGAGAAAAGCTCATTCATATTGATCTTGGGTAATTAAAAATTTGTTCACATGTCATACGTGGACCAACAATACGTTAAGAAACTTAATTTTAAAGTCATTGTTGAATAAAAATAACTTACCCCAATTTCAATAGAACAAAAATATGGTTTTAAAAATTCTTAGATACCCCTTGTTAAATTTAATCTCATCATCTACCATCTTCCAATTTATTTTTCAAAATATTGGCTTGAATCTTCCAAAAAACTAAATATGAAAAGATGTAATAATCATGACATAGTGTGTATAATAAAACATTTCATAGACACAACTGTCACAGTTGAAAGAGCTATACAGGTCCATTATCAATTTTAGACCAGTTGGTTATTCATTAGTTTCAGATTAGTTGGTGACTCAGCTGTAAAAGAAGAGAGGCTGATCTTGCAGTGAAGTTTGCACAGTCACTCAGTTCAACACCAGAAAATGCTTCTCCTGATATTTATTTAATAATATGCCACTATCAATCTAAGTAATAATACATTATAATTATAAAACCTGATCTGATTGATATTATAAATTCTTACTACTCCAGCTTTCTTGTTTTCGTATGGTCTAGTTTAGACTATAGAGTCTGTTTAGTAACATTTAAACATACAGACAGATCTTCAGCATACTCAGACAGATAAGATTTTATCTTACACTTGAAAATCATTGTACTGTTGTAACTAGTAACTGCTATGCCCCGTTTACATTATATACATAGTACGATTAAAAAAATCCTTCAATGACTTTTATGTGTAATAAATTAATTATTACTCTTAACAAGCTTAACATAAGATACACATAAAATATAATAGTTAACTAATATATTATTACAATTATGTCTACAATTATGTCTCAACAATCATTTTACATTACGATTATATGATTACAAAAAAAAACAAAATGTCAAAACATATGACCCTTCAACATATATTATGAAAAATATGAGTTAGTGATAAAAAAGAATAAACAATTGGATTAGTTATAGTAGATACAAACATAGAATAAAAAAAGCAGAATAAATAATCAGTATGCATAAAATAAAATCGGTATGCATGCATTGTGTGTTAACTTGTTATGATGCTATGGGCTATACTATACTTAGTATAGAAGTATAGAGTGACTGTAGTACAGTCTATAGTACACTGTCTATACTATGTCTATCTCTATAAATATGTATAACATACCTCATAGATGGAGACAAATAAATCTTCATTTTCGGCACTCAAAGACAACGAGGAGTTTTCTTCAAAATTGGCTGAGAGTGGATCGTTCATTTCACGATTTATAATTATTCAAAAATTTGCGAAACAATGAAACAAATCATCGCTTTTATGACAAGATTTTGAAAAAACTCATCCTCCGACTTAATTTAAACTTTACATAAATTTTCGTGTCGATCTACTTTTAAAAGCAGGGTACGGCTATTAAAAGCATACACGTAGTTGTCGGTAAAAGAAGATCTGCTCCATAATAACATAATTAACGATAAACAGGTAAAACATATATGTTGAATTAAAAGAACAATAATAAAAGAACAATAATAAAAATAATAATAGGAATAAAGAGGTGAAACAGCTTCAGTTATCTCGGATGTCTGATTATTACCTCAGGTTGTAAATGTGATGCGGATATCATACGAGGATAGATAGCGAAGGATGGATAGGGAAGGATGGATATTTTAAATGAAAAACATCCTCGCCAACAATAATGTCAGAATATCAAAAAAATCAAAACTGTTGGTGGGTTACATTTTTCTTGTGCTCACTTACGGCTCTGAGTTCTGGACAATTGCTGTTTGTGTTGTAATGAGTGAGTTCTGCTGATAGAAATATTCTCTTAAATGGTTTGTTATTTTATATAATCAACAAAATTGATGTCTTTGATAACATTTTACTTGAAAAATGTTTTGAATTTAACTCAGCAATCTTTATTTCTGAAACTAAAGAACTTTCTGCAAAGAAATTAGCAAAATAGCTAATCCTTGTAATTTTTAAATTTCGTTGAATGGTGTGACTGTTTCAAGGACATTTTCTACAAAGTTCCTTGGTGTCTTCATAACTAGCAACCTGGGATGGAAGGAAAATATCGTGTCAATTTCAATGAAAATTAGTAAAAATCTTGGAATTATTAATAAACTAAAATTCACATTTTCCAAAGTTATTTATATATTTTTTATTATTATTCTTTAAAAATCAGGATCTGACAGACGCAAAAACTGTAACAACATGCAAGGCAGTAGTACAAAATTAAACAAATAAGTGAGTAAATAAATACGAAAAGTGAGGAAGAAAAATGTTAAAACATGAAAAATGAAATAAGTTAGAATAAAATAAATAATAATAATAAAATAAATAAAAGAAAAGTAATTGACAATGAAATATAAAATGAAGTATCGGCAAATTAATAGACTAGATGATGACTTAGTGAGTTAGTGAGGTGATCGATAAATAAAAACTAGATCTGTGAATGATAAAGTTTTAATGAGTATTAATATGTTTGAGGTGTCTTGTGATGAAGGTCTTTTCTGGTATGTAGATTGGGCGATGACTTGATAGTTAGGTTTGCACTGACGAAGGTTGTGTATTGTAGCTTTAATTGGTGGTAGTAGAGGATGGATGACGTCTTTGTTGTTTATTTTCTTGAACAGTCTTGAATCGAGTGTGTTGAATGTCTGAGTGACGGTAGGATATAATGCAGGTAGGTAGTTGAAGCGAATTAGTTTTTTGATGAGAGATTGTAGTTGCTGGAGTTGTTGTTGTGCAGCAAAACCAGACCAGGAGGGAGCCTCATATTTGATGCGTGAGATGATAAGTAATTCAGTGATGTCGAATAATTTGACGCCTCTGAGACCATGTGAACGGAGTGTTTTGAGTGCGTGAAATGTTTGAAAGCCTTTTGTGATGATGTAATTGATATGAGGTGCTATATTGAGTGTGGAGGTGAATGTGATGCCTAATATTTTTAATTGATTTGTGCGAGTGATTGATGGGTGTTCAGGAGGTAATGTTATTTTTTTACGGCTATTGTGAATGATGAGTTCGAATGATTTATTGAGATTAAGTGAAAGGTTGCATCGTTTTGACCATGTAGTTAATGAGTCGAGTTCTGATTGGATGGTGTTTGAGTTAGATGATGGGATGATAAAGTAGGTGTCGTCAGAGTATTTGATGATTTGATTAGAGCTATGAAAAGTTTTGAAAGTAGAAGCGTTGATGATATATTGATAAATTTACACAATCCATACTTAAACTATTGTATAATAATATGAGGAAAAAACATTAAATCACATTAGAATATCTTATTTAAGCAACAACATTATTTCATTTGAATATATATTGGTTTGCGGAAATATGATCACGTAACTTTTTTTTAGAGAAAATCTTATTATCTATAGATACTCCCACATAAATATAAATACTCAAATATTAATAATTTTTATCAAATAGTTAACTTTAATAAATGTCAACGTTTTGTTGCCTATTACATGATGTATAATTTGAATGAGAATCGAATTATATAATCAGTCTGTGTTTATTTATAGATTGAAATTCTGGAATAATCTAGACGTCGAGTTAAAACAAGTCGATAATATATCTAAATTTAAAAAAATATATTGAACCAGTTAAATCAATTATTTCGTCAATTATTGTTATGTATTTTAGCTTGTTATTGATTATCGTTAAAGAAGTTTAATAAGTTTTTTTACTTTTTTCATAATTATGAGAAAAACATCGGCGGTGCTACGACCGCTTCAACATGACATGCGCCAAAATCTTGCCATTTCATTCATTAAATTCGTTTCCATAAAAATAAATTGATCAACTCAAAAACATTTCTGGTCTGATGAAAATTTATTAGATTAATGTTTGAGATAGAAATGTTTTTCAATATTGATTGCACGATTATGCTATCAACTTCTCTCCAATAAACGTTCACGCGAAATTTTTTATTCCATGCAAGGGACGGGTGTGTCAATGATGGACTCCGATGACTTAATGGAACATATACTAATAAGCAAATTACCCCGTAACAGATATATGCTAATAACCCCTCAGCAGCAATAGGCTAGTTACCTCTTTCAACTTTCGGAGATTCTTTTTAATGCAAAAGCCTATATATTTTATTCTATATATGCGCCATTTTCTGTCTTTACGCAATGGTAATGAATTTTAAATCAATATTTATTTTTTTAAGAAAACTTTATTTAAAAAAATTAGAAAGCACATGTTAATTTTATTTTGATTATATGGACCAAACTTTGGTAATGATCCTGTTTGACAGGATCCAGGTTTTCACAGTTCCCGACGGAACTCAATTTACTTCGTTTATTTTTTGGTTAAATCAGAAGATGGGTCAGATTCGCAACACTTGCTAGAAGGATTTTAAAATATTTAAAAATTGTTTATAACAAAACATTTATGCTTTTATGAAACTTTCTGACGCCTCCGTTTTGTTAGTGTGCCACAAAATTTTCAAACCATCTAAAATACATAAGCCACAAAATGAATGGATTGAAACTGAACTTAAAACTTTTCAGAGATATCAATTAGTATTTGGAATTTAATTTTAATATTTATTATGCAATGTTATATAATTCAGTATCTCATCTAATTTCTAGCCATAATATGGGTCATTTCAAAAAGATTTTTGAATGTGTTATTAATTTTTCATAAAAAATCATGATGACCTGGTTATGGATTAATAAAGAAATCAAACTTAATTTGAACGGTTCTACCATAGACTAGATATTTTTTTGACTATTGTGCATCTTAAAATTTGGAAATCACCAAGAATTCCTTTCAATTCAACTACGTTTTCCTTAAAACTGATAACATATTTCCGGGATAACATCAGGGATAACAAATTAACACAACTTTATAACTAGGGATGCACCGAAGTTCGGCCCCGGCCAAAATCCGGCCTTTTTTCAAATCCGGCCCCGGCCGAATTTGGTGGCCGGATTTAGGGCCGGATTTAAGCGTCTATCAACATTTAAAAATTTTACAAATTGAAAAAAAAAATTTATTGAATTCGATTAATTTTATGTCAATAAGTTAAAGGCTAAGCATACATGACACATAATAACAACATCACTAATTGTGAGGTTAGCTGAACAATTTGTTTTGTGCTATAACATGGGTTATGCATAAATTATAAGCTGATCTTTGTGCAAAAGAACTTGTGCACGTGATATATACTACATAATTGTATATTACGGATGATATAGCTACATAATATATATATATATATATATATATATATATATATATATATATATATATATATATAGGTTAGGCTAGGCTTACATGGCACATAATAACAACATCACTAATTGTGAGCTGAGCTGGACAATTTTCTTTGTGCTTTAACATGGGTTATGCATAAATTATAAGTTGATCTTTGTGTAAAAGAACTTGTGCACGTGCATGCATGGCACATAATAACAGCATCACTAATTGTGAGCTGAGCTGGACAATTTCCTTTGTGCTATAACATGGGTTATGCATTAATTATAAGCTGATCTTTGTGTACAAGAAATTGTGCACTTATATATAATAGTATATGACGATGATGCAGCTATAAAGCGCATAATTTAAGAACAATACATTTATTAAGCATTTTTTATTATTGGTGAATTTTATAAAAATGGCTGAAAAGAAATCCGGAGTATGGGCGTTTTTTGACGTTAAAACAAACGATAAATCCAAGGCAGTTTGTAAGGAATGCAATGCAGTGTTGTCGCGGGGTAAGCCTGATAACCCCAAAAGTTTCTCAACGTCTTCTTTGATTACTCATCTAAGGTCAAAGCATCCTTTTCAGTATGATAATATGAACAGTTTAAAGTCTTCGATTGCAGTAGCCGTAGAATGCGAAGATGCCCCCTCAAATGACAGTGATGCGAGTTTGCTAAGAAATGTATCAATCCAGCCCACCCAGCCAAAGATTAGAGAAGCATTTGACAAACAAAAACCTTTGGATATAAACAATGACAATGCTAAGCGTATCCATGTGGCGATTGCTAAAATGATAGCGATAGATATGGAGCCTTACCAGGTCGTCGAAAAATCAGGATTTATCAATTTGGTGAAAACCTTGGAGAGAAGGTACAGCATGCCTTCTCGAAAGTATTTCACCGAACGTGTAATTCCTGATCTTTTTGAAAAAGCATCTTCATCACTGAAGGAGAAGGTAGCTGGAGCATTGAGCCTTGCGTTGGACAGCAGACATAACAACGGAGTCGTATTTGGGATTGACAGCCCATTGGTTAACTTCTACGTTCGAACGCCAAAGTTATGTTTTGCAGTGTGTAAAATATTCAGGTCAACACACAGCAGCAAATCTACTATCAGCGTTTGATAGGTCACTCGAAAATTGGAACATTCCACGAAACAAATGTCATTTAGTTTTGGGAGACAATGCGGCAAATATTACCAAATGTTTCCGAGATGGAAACATTAAAAGTGCACCTTGTTTTGCCCACACGGTTCAATTCTGTATCAACGATGGTATATTAAGGCAACGTGGTGTTATTGATCTCCTGAAAGTTGGACATAAATTAGTAGGCCATTTCATACACTCGTTATCAGCCACGGATCGTTTGCACAATTTGCAAGCGGATTTAAATCTGCCAAAACACCAGTTAATTCAGGACATCCCCACAAGGTGGAATTCAACATTCTTCATGGTGCATCGACTGTTAGAGCAACGTCGAGCAATAACATTGTACTGTGCTGAAAATGAATCTGTTACTAATTTGTCACCAAATCAATGGTCTGTTGCTGAAACTGTTGCTGCGGTTTTGGAACCATTCGAGGAGGTTACCAGAGAAGTTAGCTCACCATCAGCATCTATATCTTTGGTTATTCCAATGGTGTATCTTTTAGTATCAGTTTTGGAAAAAGAAAGTTGGGATGCTGGCATTAAAACAATGAAGGCCACACTGCTGAATGCTATCAACACCAGGTTCCAAAACATTATAAATGACCGAGTTTACAGTGTAGCCACAATGCTTGATCTAAGGTTTAAGACCTGCTTCTTGAACGATACAGCTTGTACCGAAGCGAAGGCAGGAGTTGTGCTTGCTGTCACTAAATTGTTACCTCAAAATAACAAAGAATTAGAGTCTACATCAGAGGATGTGCAATCCCAAAAGCCAACAAAAAAAAGACGTGTTAATGAATCATCTTCAAAATTGTGGGACTGTTTTGAAGATATGTTGGAAAATGAAGTAACGAGTATTTCTAACAACAGATCACCTCATGATAGCATCAGTGATGAACTCTCAACTTTCTTGGAAAAACCATTGTTACAGCGACAGCAAGACCTAGCTACATGGTGGAAGTTTAACACTAAAAAGTATCCAACCATATCAAAGGTTGCACAAGTTTACCTAGCACCTCCACCAACAAGTGTACCATCCGAAAGATTGTTTAGCACGGCTGGAAACATCATCACTGAGCATCGCACAAGACTGCCCCCTGACAACGCTGAGAAGCTGATATTCTTAAAATACAATGCTTCTCTTATTTAACTATTTACATGTGAAATAATAAACTTTTTTTGTACACTGAAATTTTTTCAATAAAAAACAATCAATACTTTATGCTTTGTGTTATTTTTTGGTGTTCAACATGTAGATAACCGTAAATGTGAGTATTTTTTCTAACGTATGTAAAATGGTAACTAAAATCCGGCCCCGGCTCCGGCCGGTTTTTGAATTTTAAATCCGGCCCCGGATCAAGTGATTCTCGAATTTGTTTCATTCTTCTAATCTGTGCCAAGCATGATATAGAGATCATTTTAAAATGAGATTTCATTGTTAGGTTTGAATCAATTATAAAACCTAGATTCGACACTGCTTTCCAGAAATCTATTTTTTTATCATTCATAACAACTGAATTTATATCCAAGTCTGCCAACTGCTGCCAGGTACCAATAGGAAGAAATTTTGTTTTACCCTGGTTAAGCTTCAATTCATTTCTCGACATCCACAGACTAACCTCCGACATACATTCAATGAATCTCGTAATCTCGTCTTGAAATAATATCGGTTTACCTGATAACATAATTTGAATGTCGTCTGCATATGCATGGCTTTTAAAATCATATGAATCAATTATCTTCAGCACATCAGATGTATAAAGCAGAAACAATAAAGAACCCAAAACAGATCTCTGCGGCACACCAGAGCGAACCACACTGACGTAGGACAAACTCTCGTTGAACGAAACCTGCTGTGTTCGGCCAATCAAGTAGCTTCTGAGCCAATTTATTATTTCCCCAAATATTCCAAAATTTTGATGCAGAATGAGCAGTAACATTTCATGATTGACACAGTCGAAAGCCGAGCTTATGTCCAAAAATGCCAACAAGGAAATGTTTTGAGCATCCATCTCGGCATAAACCCCTGAGAGAACATGTAGCAGGGCAGTTTTAGTGGAGTGCAATTGTCTAAAACCGGATTGATGTTCAGGCATGAGATTATTATCATTCAAATGAGCAAGCAATTGTCTCGACACCATTCTTTCAATGAGTTTTGATATAAATGACAGATTATTGACTGGTCGATAATTACTGACGTCACCTGGATCTGCATCACTTTTTTTCAATAACGGCACAACAATTGCATGTTTACATGTTTCATGCACAGATTTATCAAACTGGTTATAAATGGACAGGCAGCACCAGTACAAGAGGAACAACTCTATTAACAATTCTCCTTACCTTGTTACTGAATAAACCAAATTCTGCATTTACATCATTAACAACGTTTGGATTGTTCGACCTTTCCATGTGAATGTTAAAATCTCCCGCTAACAAAATACGGAAACTGATGATTGTAACACATTTTAAGACCGAAATCAGCTCATCAAAAAAAGATGCCGTTATTTGTTCAGATCCAGGTCTGTAAATTGCCAGTAGGATATAATCTAATTCATTAATTTAAAGTTTCACCGCCAGAACCTCGAAAGCAGTAACCAGTGGCAGAGTGATCTTTTTATATCTAAAAATTGATCGGAAAAAAATGATTAAACCTCAATGGTGTAGGTCGTGCGATCTTAAACGGTCTACAAACTGATAGCCAGGGAGCATTGATAACCCAATAGAAATATTATCTGCCGAACCATGCCAGCTCTCCGTCATAACAAAAATGTCTAGGCCTTCGTAAATCAAACCATAAATAGAGCTGAATTTTGTTATTATAGTTCTGATATTTAAAACTCCCAGAACCACCGATCGCTCCTCATTTCCAATTTTGCAGGCTTACTTTTACCTGATGCTTTATTAAAACTTTCGTTGATTTTATCATCCTCAACATACTGAAATTTACCTATTGCATTTTTAATGTTACACCCCTTTTCACCACACACATCAAGACTTGAGATTTTATATTGACACTTACCATAATAGCTTTTATTATTTGCATATATATAAAACGACTTTTAACGTTTACTCCATCAAAATCAATATCATCAACGCTACCATCAGTGCCATCTCTCTCAATCAAACTTTTTCTTTCAGTTTTTGATCCCTCCAAAACTTGACTATTTTCCCCCTTCCCGGAGGTCCCCTCACTCTGAATAAAAAATCACCGCCTACAGATTCTTGCATTTTTGCATCATTGATCAACTTTTTCAACTCATCTCTCTGATCATTTGATAGGTCGTGACTAAGCCAAACACCTTTTAGAACATCATCCAACGATTTCATTCGTGATACATTATCCATTATAAAGTTTTTCGACTCAACACCATCAAGACTAATCAATAACGGTCTGTTTAATTTAATTTTTTCCCCCAGTCTCGTTACTTTAACAACTGCTTTCTCGGCAACTTCGCTTCGAGTCAAGTGATTAAAAATCCTCATAACATGTTCTTTGTCGTCGTCTCCTTCAGCAAGTCTAAAATGGACCAAATTTTGTTCTCTCTCCTTGATATCTGTCGCATTATTTAACTTTTTTTGCACATTCTTGACTTCAACGTTAATTACATCAATGTTTTTTTAACCTCTTTGCTTACTATATCGGTCCATGATGTATTGACTCCACCACTGCCCGTACGCATTTCATCAACAGCATATATATATATATATATATATATATATATATATATATTTTACAATATTATAATTATATTACAATATTATATTGTAAAAATTATGGTCTATTACCAACATTTACTCGAAGTTCTGCGACCAACCGACGTAATCTAACAATCGAACAAGATCGCGAGCAGCGACTGCTCCATCTCTCTCGAGAATTAGAAGTTAAAAAGAAGGTAGTTCAAGACTTGTTGAATCATATTGTAAAAATTATGGTCTATTACCAACATATATATATATATATATATATATATATATATATATATATATATATATATATATATATATTGACATTTTGACATTTTTATTTCATCAAATCAAACAGTGAAATCATAAAAATGAAATCAATGAAAGGAAATGATCTGGAAATCGAAAAAGAAATCTGGACTTCTTGTACTGATCACCAGTGACAATTTGTAATAATGATATATGAGCAGATTTAAACAAATAAAAGAATTCAAGGTACCCAAACACATTATAAAGAGTAATTCTAATATTTCAAAACTGTTCCGAAATATAAAACATAATTATAAAAAAAAAATTCAATATACCCAAACACGATATAATGTAGGTTATAGATATTTCAAACAGTAATTCTAATACTTCTAAATTGTTTCGAAGTTTAAAATATAATAACATTTTGACTAACTTCTAAATTTGAATCTTATCTTATGGAAATACCACGCCAGAAGCACATACACTCACTAACGCGCACAAAAACATTCACGTAAACACACACCTGTTCATCCACACACACTCAGACAAGCACAGCACTCATTCACACACACTCACACAAGCAACCACATTCGCACACACTTAGACACACATAATGCTACATGAACATGCTTTCCCAGATAACTAGATGGTGGTTTCGGGATCTAAGTTTGTTAAAAAGTTACGTAGCTTCCTCTTAAAGAGTTGTAGGTTTTTGATTTCATGTAACTGAGGAGGAAGCAGTTCAGTCCAAATTTTTGGTCCAGTAAGTTTAATATTTTATGAAAATAATTTAATACGGGTTCTTTGTGTGTAAAAGAATTGGGTGTGTCTTGTATGGGCAGATAGAATAGAATTGCTTGTTGTGTAAAGGTGGTCTAGAGGAGTAGGAAGAAGTTTATTAATAAATTTGAAAACAAGTATGGCTGTGAAATAATAACATATAAACCTTAATGGTAGAATATTGTTATTTACAAAAAAGGGTTTAGTATGGGCAAAAGGATTAGTATTAAAGATAAGACGTATTGAGCGTTTTTGAGAGAGCGTAATGTTGTACAAGTGACTTTTAGGACTGTTTCCCCATTTATTTTATTTTGTAGAAAATTCCAATTAGTTTATTGACCTTTTGGGAAGTTGATTGCAGGTGGTAGTCCCTCGAGAGGTTATCTGTTATATTGATACCTAGGAATTTAGTTGAACGAGTACGATTAATTGTATTGTTGTTAAGCAGCAAGTTTAGATCTTGGACTTGGTTAGTTAATATTTTGGGACCGAAAATTATATAAGAACATTTGGAATGATTTAGTAGTAGTTTATTTGCCAGAAACCAGTTGGAAAATCCTGATAGTTCTTGATTGATGATGTCTCGGCAGTTGTTGATGTCGTCTGGTGTAAACAAAATGTTCGTGTCGTCGGCAAATTGTACACATTTGGCTAATGATGAGACGTTACAGAGGTCATTGATGTAGACTAGAAATAGAAAAGGACCCAGTATGGATTCTTGAAGAATTACATTCTGGACATGAGTTTTATTTGATTTGAAGTTATCGATATAAACATATTGAGAACGCAAGGAGAGATAGCTCACCAACCAATTGAAAGCGATTCCCCTCACACCATACCACTCAAGTTTTTTTAGGAGTATGCTTTGGTCAATTACATCAAATGCTTTTGAAAGATCCAGAAATAGGCCAACAGATAGTTTTTTGCTATTCATACCGTTTAGTGAGTAAAGTCTAGAATAGCAAACTCCGTTGAATGCTTGGCCCGGAAGCCGTATTGGCAGTTACATATAATGTTGTTGAGATTGAAGAAAGAATTTAATCTGATGTACATTATGTTTTCCAGAATCTTGGATAAAGGAGACAACAGAGATATGGGTCTGTAGTTATTTATATCATCCAGGAATCCTTTTTTATGGATAGGAATAATTCTGGATATTTTGAAGATATCTGGAAAAATTCCCGTTGATGATGATAAATTAAAGATGTGGATTAAAGGTAAAGTTGTGGAATGGATTATGTTTTTTATTAGGTATATGTTATGGCCATCATCGGAGTAACTGTTTTTGTTTTTCATTTCACGGACAATAGATAGTAATTTGCGTTCAGATACAGGGTTAAGAGATATGGATTGAGTTATAGTAGGACCCAAGAGTTTCATGGGGTCAACCTTACCCGGTAGGAGATTGAAAGAATGTTTGCTTGAAACGTTTGCAAAATGTTCGTTCAGACGGTCGCAAATTTCCTGTTTGTTGTCAACTGTTTAGTTGCTTACAGTGAGTTTGGATATGGATGAGTTGATGGGTTTTTTGTTTAGTGCACATCTTATCAAATTCCATTTGGCTTTGATGTCGTTGGGAGAATTACTGAGTTATTTGTGTAATATTCTCGTTCTGTTTTTCTTTTAATGGTTGTAAACATGTTGCGGAATTTTTTATACTCAGAAATATTGTTTGGAGTAGGATTACGGAGCCTTTTACAAAAGAGCTTGTTTTTTTATTGGATAGTTTTTTTATATGTGTGTTGACCCAGCTTTTGTTTTTTGGTTTAACAGGTAAAAATGGAGCAAATGTACTTATCGCTTTATTGAGTATGGCATATAGCTGTGATAAGGAATCATTAACATTGTCTACCGTGATCAATGACGTCCAGTCCTGAGCAGATAACGAATGGTTGATGTCATATAAAGATTTTGGAGTCAGAAGTCTGGAGTATTTTTGTGGTGCAGAATAATTAAGTTTATTGAGGTTAGATGGAATGGTGAAAATAAGAAAATGGTCTGAGAAGTCAGATAAGACTGTTCCAGAAAAATGAGTAGTAATATTATTTGTGAAGATATTGTCAATTAACGAGGAAGAGGAAGACGTAATGCGTGTGTCACAGGTTATAAGTGGAAAAAAGTTGTACGATGATAGAAGGTTGGAAAAAGCTAAAAAAATTTATTAAGATCAAGATTGAAGTCACCGATTAAATAAGATTTATTGGGAGGTTTTAGTGTAGGTAAGATAATTTCAAGTTTGCGTAGTAGTAGATCAGGGTTGGAATTAGGCGGTCTGTAGATTGCAATTATGCATATTAACTGCGATGTCGACGGAAAGAAAGTCAATAACTTCATCATCCAGTACGGCTTCGCAGTTAACTGAATAGCTGATTCCCTGTTTGATGAAAATCCCGACACTACCACCTTTTTTGTTAGATCTGTTTTTAAAAACAAAGTTATAATTAGGCATATTAATATATTTAACAGTGTCATCATTTAACCAGGTTTCAGAAATTATGATAAGTGGAAAAAAATTTGAAAGGGAATCGTTTAGTATTAACAAATCTGCCATTTTATTGAACAAACTACGACTATTGGAATGATTAATAAATAAATTATTATCAGTTTAAAAAAAATTGTTAAGTATGAAGTTTAAATTGTTTATGGTGTAATTTTGAAAGTTATTGATAAAAATGTCTGAAAAATTAATACTGTTATTGGATGGGTTGACAGAAACTAAATCAGAAGATGTATCGCTGGAATCAGGCAGGTTAGTACATGGAGAGTTGTTTGTGTTTCTATTCATGATTGGTTATTTGTTGCTTGGCCTTTTTTTTCATTATGCAAGAAACGCCATTCTTTTGGGTATGATGTTTGGATCGTTGATTTTAGGAGAATCTATTTTGTCAATGCAGACACGAAACATTGATGAATCTTGGTTGTCACGATTGGTGTGGGGAACTTTTGATGGCTCGGTATTTTTAAATACCGGGTAACATGATAACACGTTAATCCCGCATGATGATAAAAATTCGCTGACATCGCTGGCTGAACATTTCTGGATGTTACTCATTGAGTAGACACGTTTGTTGTACAGAACTTTATCGGCTTTTAGTTTGCAGTCAACTTCATTTTTACCAATAATTTTTGGAGCTGAACGTTTGTTTGAATTTGTATCTGCTTTAATGTTGTTGTTGTCAGTGTCGCTGTTTAATGCGCGCGGGCGTTTATTTTTTCTGGTGACAAGGGTGACCGACGAGTCTTCGGTCGGGGTTCTTGAAATATCGGACCACAGGGGTTTTCCAAGCTGGACGGTAGAGTTGACAAGTGGAATATTCGGCATAACAGTAGGTTTAATATTTTTCGAGTTGGCAGTTTTACAGTTGTTTTCAACATTAATATTTGACAACAAACTTGTATTGTTTTTAAGACTTGAATATCGTGTTTATTAGCTTCAATTATATTGTTTAAGCGCACCTATTGAGAGTGAACTATG